TTTGTTAGAAAGGGTGTTAGGAACAAATGGTTTAGTCAATGACTGAAAATTAAACACTTTAACAACCTTTGCACAATTTCATTCTAATATTATCAGTCATTGACTAAACTGTTTTAACACCCTTCAGATATAAGCGATATAATTTAGATATATAATTTTGATATTAAAACTTCTACACTATACCATCAGAGGTTCTTAGACTGTGACAAAATGATCTTTCACAACATTGATGAAAATAACATTAATTAAATTTTCTACATTAATTAATACTTCATGTAATTGATGATTGGCATCTTCTGTTTTTGTTGCAGGGTGGTCAACCAGCTGATTGGAGAGGAGGAGCATTTTCAGGACAGTTTGTGGCACCTGCTCAGCCAATGGTATATTCTAACTTTTCTTATTTCTCTTTTGTTGTAATTATTATTATTATTATTATTATTATTATTGTTATTGTTATTGTTATTGTTATTGTTATTATTATTATTATTATTTTATTAACCATTCCTGGAGTTGGAAATATTGGCAACTAGTAACTAGCAATTAATGCTAGTGTGATACTTTTTCTAACTTCAAATCAAATTATCTAAGTTATCTTTATCTCACTCAGCCCTCCCCTGTCGGACAGCTTAGCCACCCCCGCCCCAGAAAATATATCCTATATCATAAAGAAATATTTGTTTTAGATCATGAGGGTCCAAATCATCCTTATAATTAAACATAGTTATAGAGCATTGAGGCATCAAAATAACCGGCTCCCCAATCTTCATAGACTAGTCTGTAGATCTACAAGGGTCGTAAATTACTACCTTTGCTTGATGGTAAAACTTAGTAAATTAATATATTCATTTTCTTTCTGTAATAGAGCGCAAGACCAGCTGTTCCAGGAATGGGATATAACGCACCTATGGCACAGCCAATGTACAGACCACCATCGCAGCAACCTACTGATCCATTTGTATGTAATTTTGAACAATTTTTGTAGAACATGAATAATAACAATAATAACAATCACAAATTCTGTAAATCGGACTTAAGGGGAATATCTTTTGTGTTATTTTCCCCTTAACGTCATGTTATTTCTCCTTAACGTTGTTTTTTTAATTGTTCTCTAATTTCTCAATTGACTAAGTTCCCCGTAAGGTAGGTTTTAGTAACATCACAATAATAATAATAATATAGTTTTTGTAAAGTGGCCTTATTTGCATCTTAGCTGTTGTTAAGCACCTAATGTCCTTATAGAAAACGCTTGAGAAATAATGCATAGTTATTAAATTTTTTGATTACTGAACAAAATGAGTTGATTTTTAACTACTAGAGTTTGATTTTTTTGCTTCAAACGTTTTTCAGTGAGGGCGCGACTGATGGCGCCAATATTCTTTTGTGTTAGAGGTGTGGGCTCCCACCCTAGATACGCCACTGATAATAATGTATATTATAAAAAGGAACATTTAAAAAAACCTTCATTTAAAGAGTTTAAAAAAAAATTATATCACTTTCCTCTGATTTACAGACTTTAATATGAAAGTTGCTAATTCTCAATTTAAATTGTCTATGCCAGGGGTATTGCAACAATAATAAATAAGTCTGTCTATTAAAGGAAGCTAGTACTTCTTGTTTTAGGTTTACTCTAATAACTTAAAATTTTTTCCAGTCTTAATTTTCATGATTTTTTTAAGCTTAACTCTCTTTTCATTATTTTTTTTACAGGGAAGTCTCTGAAGGTAATATTATATAATAGTGTGTATAAATAAATTAGCTCCTCGTCAAGAAAATGGAATAACTAATCTTTCAAGATACGAATGAAATAATCAAGAAAGGAACATCAATGAGGTTAATTGTAGAGATGATTGAATAAAAGCTACGAAGAATCAGTGAGAAGCATTATGGGTTTACAACTGGCCAGTGATTTCTGTACTAATACATTATAAACAATGAATTTAAATTAACGCTTAATTTCAAAAATTAACTGATCATGAAATGTTGGAGGAAAAAACAGAACTTTCCCCAAAATATAATTTACTAGTTGTTTAAACTGTTTTGATGCAAAAGAAATTTGCTTTTGTGAGTATATGTAATTGAATATCAGAAAGATTATGTTCATACACATTTTCAGAAATCATGGCAGTGTTTTGCAGAAATTTTACTGTATTTGGTTTTTTAACCAATTGAAGGGATCAATGATAGCATTGATTTCAAGTACATTTTAAAATTTAATGTGTATCTATTTGTAGGTATACCACAATGGAAAGATTTTTTTTCTTCTTACATCTAAAGTTATAAATAGCTGTAGACTTACATTTTATGCCCTTGTTATGAGGCTCATACTACCCACTCCATTCACATCCAAAATTACACTACCTGCTTCTGCCGCCCCCACTCCCTGTATAAACACCAGTTACTGCCATTCTTCATAAACATTATGCCATTCCTAAAATTAATATAAAGTTGAAATTTTCTGTTTTATTTTGCCTTTGTTTTTAGAAGTGTGAACCAAATATTTTTTGTTCCAGCAATACAGACCACATATATTTCACTAGGACCCATATTAATAATATAATTATTAGTCTAGTTTGAGAATTATGGTAGTAAATAGTAACCATAGGCCATAGAGGTAGGAAATCACAGTTAAAATATACTTTTTTGTGACTATTTTTTTAATCATTTTTTTTAACATGATGAACAATTGATATTTTATCATATCTCTTTTGCCTTTGTATTCTTCTATTGAATACAACAACAATATATATTTCTATTTGTGTTTTTTATTATTTTGTTTTTTTCTCATAATATAATATGATTAATTGTATAATATAAATGGTATATTATAATATGTGTTGTGTTTTATATCGGTAGCGCATGTTCCTTTGAAAAGTCCCAGTGGTAACATGTGAGACTTGTAACAATAATTATAAAAAAATACTCATTAAGTAATTATTAATTAATATGTGGTATTTAGAATTGTCTATTAGGGATGTTTTAAAATCAGACATTAATAATTTCCATACATATCTTGGACATGTTATCTTGTTATATTGAAAGATATTATATTAACTCTCTTTTGATTTTTAATCCATTCAAAATGTATACGTTCTATAAAATTTGGACTTTTACTTAAAATTTAGGAAAAATGACAAAGTGTGATAGAATTCTTTAGCTCTTGTCATTATTCTTAGTAAAATTTATGATATATTCATTCATTTTAAAATATTTGCTGTGTTACTAATCGCAGGAAATGTAAATTCAATATACGGGCCACAAAATATACTTCACTCTCGTAGAAATACACATTTGACATTTTGTGTGACAATTCTTGTGAGGAAACATGGGCTTGTGAGGACCACCAACAGTTAGTTTTCTATCCTTTGTTTAACCAAAGATTATTGTAAACATTCATGGTCTAAATAACAAGTAATTACTGTACTGTATTCCTTATAATATTTCCTTAAAATGTTTTAAGTGGATGGGATAAGTTTCCACAAAATAAATCTATATACAATACATTGTGGAGCTGTAATTGTTCATTCAGTTATTTAAACTGATATAAATATTTGTCCTGTAAAGCATTTAGTAAAACAAAACATGTTTAAATTTATTACATACAATAGTATACATTATTCTTATAGTGTATTGTTAATATATGGTTGTACTGTATAACCTTAATGTTAGTTTTATTTTTTTCTATCAACGTTCAGCATATAAAAGAAGTATGAAATAGCAGTCAATCACGTCTGCAGATGTAAAATATTCAAGTTATAAAATTATAAATTTACAAGTGATTATATCACACCAACTATTAATAATATTTTAGTTTAAAATTTTATTTTAGAATTGGATAAATGTTCCAAGTAGATTCAATTTAAGATACAATTTCATATGTCAAAAACATAGGTTATCTTTATATAATTGAGAAGAGCAAGTGTGTTACGGCAAAGGTTTTCAGTTCCCATTGTTCACTGTTGCTCAATTATATGATTAGGCTAGGGAATCATGTATATTTTATGGTGGTTAGTAAGTAGTACACATGTACTGTACACACAATACAGTAGTACTTTAGCCAGCATACATTATATTCATGATAATTTGCTGGTTTTTAAGAAAACTACAGTAAATATGTTTGTCATTATTGCATTATTACTGAAGTGGCCACATGCTTTGGAGGTGGATGATGTCTGGTCCGTACTACATACATAGTCTTTGGAGGCAAGTATTTTACATGGTCTTGTCAGGCAAAAAGGTAATGTAATACATGATCTTTAGAAGCAAGTTCATAATGAATGGCCAATATTGTGTGGTTTTGTAGGCAAGAATATATTGAATGGTCCATAATCCATGGTCTTAGAAGGCAGGTAGATTATAAATGGTCCATAGCAATATGTTATTTTTGGAGTAAATGAATTATTGGTTTGTCCATAGAAGACAATTAATGATTGGTTGATTATGTGGTCTTGTGAGAAAAGTAGGTACTGTACACATTATTGAATAACATGTGGTCTTATGAATGGGCCATAATACATGGTCCCGTGAGGCAAGTAGACGATGGTCGATAACATGTGTTAATAAATGGTCCATAGTATGTGGTCTTGTGAGGCAAGTACATAAATGATGAATAAATAGTCCATATGAAATTTTAGTGAAAAACAGATGGTAATGAATATGTGGTTCTTCTCTGAGAATGATCTGTGTGGTCATTTATTGGATAAAGCAAGTTGTCCATTTTGGCAAGTAAATTATGGTCATTTTGGTCGAATAGGATGTATGTTCCTTTGAAGGCCAGCGTTGCATCAAATTATCCGAATCACTTACCTTTAGTGGTGTCGTGCACCTAACAGCAATGTATCTTAGCTAAGTGTTACCATGATGGTCAATAGACAGAGAGGTGAAATTGAGCAAGAATCGCATATCTACATCTTAAATACAGTATGATTTACTTTATTATGAAATATATGTATATATAATATATACCTACGTTCATGCGAATAAGTATATTTATTTGTTGTGTTGTTATATACAGTATATA